ACAGTCTTCCAGTTCAAGTAGTTCAAAAAATCTTCCCATTGTAAACATCAAGCCAATAGTTAATATTTCTAATGTTAGTCTTTCAGAAGAACAAGAGAGAATTCTAAAATATAATTTTAACTTCTCACAAACCTGTAAACCCTCGATTCCAAAGATTTTGGCTCCTATCGAAAAAGCTTTCAAGTTCAGTAAAGTTTCAGATTCACAGAAAGAAATGATTAGGCATCTTATCGCTCATAATGTGAAATTCAATAATAAACCTTTGAAACCAAATCTAACTGCGAGAGAAAGAGCTACAATGCGCGAAATTCATTCTAACCCGGATATTATCATTTCAAAGGCCGACAAAGGTGGCCAGATAGTCGTCATGGATAAGAACACTTACATCGATGGTGTCACTAAACTCTTAAACGAAGGACCATATAATCCGATCCCTAAAGATCCTTCACCTTCGGACTTATCCAAAATAAAAACTGCGATCAAATCTTCGCAAATCATTTCAAGCAACTTAAAACATTCGCTTATCCCATCTGTTGCGAATTGTGCCAGATTATATGCTCTTCCCTTCCCAAAATTCATAAAAGTGGTATTCCTTTCCGCCCTATTGTATCAAATTTAGGTACTGCCTCGTATCCATTAGCTAAATATTTAGTTTCTAGATTTTCCACTCTATTAGACAATAACATTTACACCATAAAAAATTCAATAGAGTTTGTAAAAAAGGTTAAAAAAACATTTCTCCTAGTAATTTACTCATGGTTTCTTTTGATGTAAAATCATTATTCACCAATGTCCCAGTGGAGGGTGCATTAAGATGTCTAGAAACCAGACTTCGCGAATTTCATTTCTCTTGCATCGAAATTGATGAGCTAATTTCTCTCACTCAACTCTGTTTGAAACAAACACATTTTGTTTTCCAAAATAAATATTACAAGCAAACTGAGGGATTAGCCATGGGAAGCCCCCTCAGTCCCATCCTGGCTGATATCTACATGCATTATTATGAATCAAAATTGTTTGAAACTTTAAACTTCCCGGCATGGTTCCGCTACGTAGACGATACTTTTACCCTGTTTGAAGGTAATAAAGATGATTTAAATAAAGTTCTTTCAACAATGAATTCTATTGATCCTGCTATTCAGTTCACTTTTGAACTTGAGACTTGCAATTCTCTTCCGTTTCTCGACATTCTGGTCACACGTAACACATCCAACTTCAGTACTACAGTTTACCGTAAACCTTCATCGGTTTGCCTTCCACCACACTTTAAATCATGTCATCCGACTAAACAAAAGTTAGCTTCATTTTATTCCTATGTTTTCCGTGCTCTTCAAGTTTGCTCCTCCAAACTAGCCCTTGATGAAGAACTAAATTATTTAAAAGCAATAGCTATTGACAGGGGCTTTTCACCCAACATTATTAATCAAGCAGTTAAAAAATTCTCATCTCAACACACTAAAAGCCACACTCTTATTTTAGGAGATTATAAAAATTCTGTTGTCATTCCCTTCTTTCCATCAATTAGCTATAAAGTTGCACATATTTTGCAGAAATTTAACTTTCGGGTTGTTTATTCTCCCATCAATAAAATTCCAACTTCTATACTCAAGGACCCCATTCCGGATATGAATTCCTGGGGTATTTATAGGATTCCTTGCCAGTGTGGTTTAATTTACATTGGCCAAACTAAGAGAGCCTTAAAATTTCGCGTCAAAGAACATGAGGCATATGTTAGAAAAAAGGAAACACAGAAGTCTTCTGTTGCTCAACATTGTTGGTCCGAAAATCACACTTTCAATTTTTCTGCTGCCAAAATTATTCAAAAAACATCTTCCATTGGAGAACTGGATTTTCTAGAGGCATTTCACATTCATAAAAATCTTTCTGTTCTAGTTAACGATCCTAATTCCAATCCAAATTTGCCTTCGGCTTTTAGAGAAATTATGTTTTAGTTCTGGTTTCGCCAACAGATGGCGCCACTTGCTTATTCTTGTCCAGGCTTTCTTATCTTATCTAATCATTATTTCCTATCTTGTTCATTTGCGGTTTTGCAGCTGAAGATGATGGTTCGGTAAAACCATCGAAACTAGTCCTGTGAAAATTTTGTAGGTATAACGCTGATTTTTGTTGTTTGACTTCTGAATTACCATTACTAGTTGTAATTATATACTTCTTTCAACAACTTCATTACTGTTAATTTTCTTTACTTTACTAACAATCTTAGCTTTAAACGTTTATAATTTTTTCATCATACTCTTCACATACAAGTAGTTCGTTATCATATTCTTTTTCATCAATTATGAGAGCATCGATCTTTGAGCCAAGAGTTTTAAGTTTCTCATGGTATTCAATTAACAATTCATATGATGAATTTAGATCTTCTAGATGTTCTTTACTTAATTCTTCCGATAATAATTTCTCAAGTTTATTTAGAAATGTAGTAACTTTACTACGTACAATAGCACGTTTCTTTTTCTCTTTTGCTAAATCATCCATTATGTTTCGTTTTCAAAGATCGATACCAAGAACAAATAAATCAAAATTCTTACCTTTCAAAAGGTAATTCCCCTTTTCGCGGGTTTCAGACCCTAAAAAAATGTATGGTGTCTCTCTTCATGAGTCATAATTTCAAAGATCGTTTCGTTTCAGGAGTCAAGGTTGGGAGAGCATTAGAATTTCAAATAAAAATTTCAAGATTCACAGAACATAGAACATTTATTAACGATAAACTTATATTACTTATATTACTTCCGCGTATAGCGGCCATGAAACATAATCAAGCATCAAATAAATATGACATGCGTCATTCTTCATGTTCAAACGTCAAGTGGAGTATTTTTCATCGGCGCGCATCAAGAGCGCCACCTATCTACCAAAAAGACGGAACACTATATTTAATATAAATCTATGAGAAGCTCTATGAAAACACACTGAACAATTGACGCATAACTGACACAAGTGACACATAACAACACTGAAGAAACAATTATTGTAGTTATTATTATGTGAGGATTTTACTAGTAGAAAGAGTCTCGCTAGTAAAACGTTTAAGAACATTCTAAGTTCTTGCTCTGTCTAACAAATTGAATTAATCAATCCCTCTTAATATTTTTTTGCTGTATTTTATTCCTTTGATTCGTTATAACTGAAATGATATCAGAGGAGCAACGGGATAATTGGTTTATCAGCCTCTTCGAAATCGAGAGGCTTTGATGGCAGACACAGTACAGATCAATAAGATCCCTTGAAATTGGCCGTGAAGGTATGATTCTTGTAATATCAAGTACATTTATAACTAAACGAATTTTTGCTTCTGCAGTGTCAGAGCCTGTTGTTTCACAGCTCGTAACAGCTCGAACACTAACTCGAACTCGAACCTGTGAGGGGATTGCACACATGAATTTCTTATCTTAGTACAATGCACCGTATTTTGCTTTCATACTGCATAATATTATTCGCTTTTGCTTGTTATGTCTGGCGACTGTAGGCAAACCAATAGTGGGTGAAAGGCAGACTTCCTAAGTTTTATATTTATAAAAGTTTCTTTGATTTTTCTTAATATACCATATTTATAAAAGTTTCTTTGATTTTTCTTAATATACCATATTTATAAAAGTTTCTTTGATTTTTCTTAATATACAAGCTCTCTTTTAATTTCTTAATTCTAACCTTATAAGGTATCTCTCCCGCCTTCTTAGCATGCCTTCGTGTTGTGGTAGTCAGCACGCTCGACGTGTATTCGAGAGGTCTGTGGTTCGAGTCCCGGCGAGGATATTGCTTATTTTTCAAGTCTCCTGTTACCAAAAAAGAAATCCTTATGTCTCTAAAGTGGCGCCTGAACTAAAAAAGGTGGCGGATAACGATTCTCCACCACCAAGATTTGGTGATTGGGTTCCCTAACTCCCAATCGCCCTTTAAAAGGGGGACTGTGGAAGGTATTTCTCCCACCTTCTTAGCATGCCTTCGTAGTGTAGCATGCTCAACGCGTATTCGAGAGGCTAGTACATTGCTCATTTTTCGTCTCTCCTGCTTCGAAATAACCTAATGTCTCTACAACCTGGCCGTGGCATATTTTTGAAACACCTCCAAGTAAAACTGTGAAAGTGTTTATTGTTTTGATTTCATAGATTAGATATTCTGACAAGGTAAAAAGTACTAACACTTGAGAAAAGTAGTTAATACAAAATTCTCAATCAATCCATCCGATGAAATATATGCACAATATTATTTTTTTAAATAAATCTTTTATTTATTAAACGAGCGCACGAATGACCATTTTTCATTAATTTACAAGGAAGTGATATAAGTATTGTGATAAGGTCGCGTAAAGGAAGAAGAAACTGAAGATTAATATGGACAAGGATGTCTCGAGAGCATAAGATGAATATTATTATTATTTAACTTCGGAATACGTTTTCAATACTTGTGAAGTTTAATTAATTGTTTTAAAAATAATATTAATATGTTGGCATTGTTTCAAACGCAGGCTCGAGAGCCACGTATTGCTCCCGCACGTAAAATGTAGAGATATTAGAATTTGTTTTGAGAAAAAAGGAAGATATAGGTTTTTCTCTTCTTGATTGTATGTAGCCTTTTATCTTGGGCGTTCAATAAAATTTTCATGCGGTGTTCCATCATCAGTGTTGTATCTCTCAATAGAATTCTAAAAAGGTAAAAAGAAATCTCTTACCTTTTCTTTCACCCGGGAGCCGAGCTTGTTACATTCCAAATTCTTATTCGATGAAATATCTAAATAATTCCAAGCTTTTGCATAAAGACTGACACTTCTGTTTAAATAAAGATATTATATTTAGATACAGTTATATACAATTATTAGATTACATGAAATTACGCGCTCTCCAGCTAACAGTCATTCAAGTTCGGGTTCAGAGTTCTAACTACGTTCTTACGTAAGATTATTCTCAAGTTTAGATGTAATGGTGCTGATAGTTCGGAGTTTAGATGTGGAGGCGCTGATAGTTCGGAGTTTAGATGTAACATCACCTCCCACCATTGAGATCCGACGATGCGGAGGAACTCAATACACACAGGTCCAGTCGATGAGGAGGCCGAACAACTCGTCCAGCTCTGGTCATCACTCGAGGACTTGAGGCAGGTTCTGGAATACTAGCAGCCTGATCAGCCTGACCAGTTGCATGGTCGTTTCTATCTCGAGGTGCTCTGTCGGGGAACGGAGGGCCAACGGATTCGGAAGTAGAGATCTCCAACGGGAAAAGCCGGGGCACTGGACGAAGCAGAATTCCATTTCTTGTCTTGACCCTCGCTAGTCTAACTATTCCGTCTTTACTGGGGAAAAGCTCGACTATCTTGGCTAAAGGCCAATGTATGCGTCGTCTCTGGCTGTCTTCCAATAGAACGACATCGCCTACTTGCAACTGTTGAAATTTTCCCTTCTTTATTGCCTGTTGTCTCAACTGACCAAGATATTCATTACGAAATCTGTTTCGTAGATCATGTCTTATTCTCTGTCGGTATTTGGCTCGACGGTTTAGTTCTTTGGAATCTACGTAGTCCATATCAGGAACTCCTGATGACGGCAATTCTTGCAGGAACATCATAGGGGTCAGTGGTGATGGATCTTGATTATCCTCTGATACGTATGTGATAGGTCGCGAATTAATCACTTGTTCACAGTCACATAATATAGTATATAATTCTTCATAATTTAAGGACGTTCGACCTAACACTCTTCTTAAATTTTCTTTCACCATTCGCACAAGCCTCTCCCACCAACCTCCCCACCAGGCGGCGGTCGGAGGGTTGAACTTCCATCGTATCCTTTGGATAGAAGCAGCTGAACATATGGCGTTCCAATTAACTTTCTTAAGAACACTGTTAGTCCCTACAAAATTAGTTCCGTTGTCGGAATATATCACATAAGGTCTACCTCTTCTGGCAATGAATCTACGTAAAGATTGGATGAAAGTTTCTGTAGATAGAGAAGTAACTAGTTCGAGGTGAATGGCTCTATAAATGGCACATGTATACAAGACTATCCACGCTTTAGACCCCTCCTCATGGAGATAGAGGGGACCTGCTAGATCTACACCGACGACTTCAAAAGTCGCCCCTTCTCTGACTCGATCTTCGGGTGGAAATCCTGGCTCGACTTCCACTCTTTGTGAAAAATCTTTTACATCTTACACATTTTCTGATAATATTTCGAATACTTTTTCCTGGATTTTAATATCCAAAAGTTTTCTCTAAGATTTGTCATTAAAGTGCTGACACCAGCATGCTGGAGTTCTAGATGTTTCTCGTAAATTAGTCTCTCAACAAGAATATGTTTTGAAGGTAAAATGATAGGATATCGGAAATTTTCATTATCTTGACGCTGTAGGACGTTCGTTTTGGCTCTTAAAATTCCATTTTGGTCTACGATTGGTCTCAGCGCACGAATAGCGGGATCGTTTATGCCTGTAAATGATTCTTTCTGTACCAATCTACAAAGTGCCTTTTCAGCATTCTCCAATTCATCAACTGAGACATCAGGAGTGAGGTTTTTTATCTTTGTTCTTTAAATTGTGATAAAACCTGAAAATCCAAGCGATCATTCTCACGGTTTTTCTATATGAAGAGAAGTATTTGTAGTACCGGTCCAAATTGTCTCCATGATCTAGAAGAGTCAGAATCGTTTTTCCTTTTTTCCTTGTTTATAAGTTCCTCATCAGGCTTTTCTTCTACATGGGGCCACTCGTCTTCTGGTAAGTAAAGCCACGATGGGCCCTCCCACCATGCCGATTTCTGTAATTGCTCAATAGTACATCCTCTCTCGATGGGAGATCCGCTGGGTTTAAACTTCCAGGTACATGCCTCCAGTCAGATATTCTGGTAAGCGATCTTATTTCTTGTACTCGATTGTTAACAAACGTACCCCATGCTTGATCCCTTCTTATCCACCCCAAAGCTGTAGAAGAATCACTCCAGAACACTGTTCTACAATTCTTAAGTTTCAAATCTGATAGAATTGTTTTGGCAAGCCTGGCACCTATCAGACAGGAGAGAAGTTCAAGACGTGGAATCGTAAGTTCCTTAATAGGGGCTATTCGACTTCTCGCGCTTACTAACTGAACCTTTACACCTTCGATGGTTTCAGCTCTTAAAAATGCACATGTGGCATAGGCTCTTTTACTAGCATCCGAAAAAACGTGGAGCACTACGGTATCTTCGTTTTCGTAATCAATATTTAACCAACGAGGAATTTCAATCTGAGATAGCAGAGGCAATTGGTTCAACCAAGTCCCAAACTGCTCACTTAGGGGAAGAGGAAGATCTTCATCCCACTTAATCTTCTGGTTCCATGTTTCTTGCAAAATTAGCTTAGGAATTACAGTTATCGGTGCAGTAAAGCCAATGGGATCAAAAATTTTCTGGGTAATTGACAAAACTTTTCTTTTGGTAATAGGTTCCCTCAAGTTAAATGTTTCTTCGATCTTGCAACTCAAACTATCTTTTTCTAAATCCCATACTAATCCTAATACTGGGACAACTAATACTGGGACAACTTTCGTCTTGCTCTCTATCTCATCGATCATGTCAATGCGAAAATTTGATCGCCAACATCTCAAATTGAAATGCCCTGAAGCCAAAATCAATCTTGCTTCTTGAACGAAATTTTCGACTTCATCTACGTGATTCAAGCTAATTAACGAATTATCGAGGTAAAATATTAGAAGTTTCTACAAACTTTTCTGGGACTGTAGTCAAAAGGTGACTAAGTGTAGCGGCTAGCAGAAACGGACTTGATGTGAGTCCAAAAACAACTCGGTTATGTCTGTAAATTTTAAACTTATGTTGATTATCGAACCATAGAAACCTTAAAAAATCTCTATCCTTTTCTGCTATTTTGATTTGACAAAAGGCCTTTTCGATATCAGATGACACTCCTATGCGATATTTTCGAAAACGATTCAATATACGTGGAATAATTTCTATTAAATTTGGTCCTTTACTCAAACAATCATTGAGAGAGGGTGAATTCTTAGAACGTGCAGATGCATTGAAAACAGGCCGTATCTTTGTAGTTTCACTAGACTCTTTTATTACAGGTCTGTGTGACAAGTAGTGCACTCCTTCCTCTTTTTTCCTCAGTTACTACCTCAATAATGTCCTTCGCTTCCCACTCATCAAATATTTCTTCGTAATCTTTTCTTCTGCGTGTGTTAATTAGTTTACTTTCGGTTTTGACGAGGTGTCTTTCTGCCATAGTACGGTTACTGGATAAGACGGATTTATCTAAAATAAAGGGTAAGGTTACTTCATATCTCCCTGAGCTATCTCGTTTTACACTTTTTAAGAAATGTTTTCGGGTTTCTTCTTCCAAGACACTTTTCGTTTTGTTTTCCTCACTTGAAATCCCCAAGGTGTCTAAACGCCAAAGATTGGACAAATTTGTATCGGAAACATGTAAGGATAAAGAAAGAACGGACAGGGAACTCGACGTATTCGCATTCTCTTTAATCTTGCCCATTAAAGTCCAGCCTAACTTGGTCTCAAAGGCTACGTAATCCCCCGCAAAATGTTCAATTCTTTCAGTGAACAATTGTGCTGCGGTGTCCGCTCCTAACAGCATATGAATCTCTTCCTTCAGGATTTTCTTGAAACAGACAGAGATTTCCATTCGCATGATTGTCGTTGATAAGGATTCCCCTTTTTTCCATTACTTTAATTAACTTTTCGTCTTTGATCTTAGGTAGTGACGAACAAATTTTCCTCTGGTCTAGTGCTTCGATTTTACACCTGTACTTTCCATCTAAACTAGTTAAATCTATTTGATAACGATTATGATCTTCCGAAACTTCTACACCCCCAAATAACCCATGTTTAATTCTTTCAGTTCCTATCTTTTCTAATTTCAACGTTTTAGCAGCATATTGACTTATGTACGTGTTCTGACTTCCGGTGTCTATTAGCAATCTTAAATAACCCTTTAAGGTTTTCCCAGCTACCCCTACGACCAAAGTTTGTAAATAAACTTCAGAACGGTTGCTTTGATTCGAAAGTACTTTATTTTCAACTTCCTGGACAGTTTTGATCGTTCCCTTTTTACTCTCGGAATTAATTCTATTACACATAATCGTAGAATGCTTAGAGTGACAATGGGAGCAAAAAATGTTAGAATCACAAAATTTGCTGATGTGACCCTTATTTTGTAAACACCTAAAACAAGTGCCATTTTTGCGTAGTATTTCAACCTTTTCGTCATTAGTTAGTTTCTGGGCAATAGGACATTTATGGCTTGAATGGGAAAAATCTCCGCAAAAACACATGCCTTAATCAATTTTTCTTTAACACCCGTGGACACTAAATCAGAAGCAGAAGAAGCTTTCGTTTCTAATTTATTGCTCTTTCCATCGCTGAAATGACGAGTGTTTATTTTCTGGACTGCATACGCAGACTGACGGCGCCCACTATTCGCTGTCGAATGCTCTGAATTCTTATTTATGACTTCCGCCCTTTCGCGTGAATCTAAACATTGAGCTATAATCAAGCACAGGCTTTTAATATTACAATACGCACTTCCATTACTCATTCTGTTAATCTCAAGCAAAATATCTTGGGGAAGTGATTTCAGAATTATTGGACATAACACACTTGATAAATTCTCGAGAGACTGACCCAAATTTTCTAAACATCTTAATTCGATAGAAATATTATCATAAAATTTTCTAAAGGCGCGAACATCATTCGAGATTTTCAACGGTTTAGTGTTCAAAATGTTATTTATGTGAGTGTAAATGAGCACATCTGTTTTCGCAAATCTTTCTTTTAGAAGATCAATTGCGGAATCGTAATTAGCAGCAGTAATCGGTAATCCTTCGACTGTATTTAAAGCAGAACCACCTAAATGAGCCTTCAAATAATTAAATTTGTCTATTTTATCTAATGAATCATTTTTATGAATGGCAGACTCGAAACTGTTCCAAAATGTTAGCCAGTTGTTTATATCTCCGTAGAATTTCGTTAAAGTTAACTTAGGTAATTTAATTCGAACAGACTCGTTATGTTTTGGTTCGCTTTGACTGTCAGTACTGAACTGGTTATTTACTACCGTTTCAGTAGATTTGCGTTTTAATTCGTCGATTCTTTTGTAGGTACGGAGTTACGGATACTGCATTTAACGACCTTTTGACGATATTCTTCAGATTTTTGGAATTCAGCATCAAATTCTTCGATTTTAAAAAGAGGTTTTAATTCTGTATCGACACTTTTAAGCGATTCGAAATTATTCTTTAATATTTCTAAATTTTCTTCCAAATCATGAATTTTCGAATCAATTTCCGAAAGCTGCGATTTCGTTACTGATGTTCGGAAAGCTGCGCGCTTCTTTTTTAATTTATTTAAAATCTCTTCAGACATGTTCTTAACAGTTCAAAAATTCAAAAAGTAATCAATAATTGTATTCTTAATCTTTATTGTCTAATTTAAATTCTTATTCTTAGCTCGGGCGTCCCGGCAGGGATGCCAAAAAATTGTTGTATCTCTCAATAGAATTCTAAAAAGGTAAAAAGAAATCTCTTACCTTTTCTTTCACCCGGGAGCCGAGCTTGTTCCATTCCAAATTCTTATTCGATGAAATATCTAAATAATTCCAAGCTTTTGCATAAAGACTGACACTTCTGTTTAAATAAAGATATTATATTTAGATACAGTTATGTAGAATCGGTATTTACTGTCTAGGAATATGATGTTTGTAAACTTACTTCTTATGTGGCTGTCTAGGGGCTAATAAACTAGTCCGATTTACAAATAACTTGAATATTTAATGAAACATAAATAGTTGCAACAAACTACAAAGTAATTACATACGTAGAAGGAAATAGATGAGATTATTTACAGATGAAGATAAGGAATAGTCTTTAATATGCAAACATCTTTTAATCGCGTCATCGTCTTAATGGCGGAATCGTCTGCCTTCTATCATCGGAAATGTGAAAGATTTCCTCCCACAGCTTGTCGCGTCATCCGATTATAAATGAACGATGCCAACCCACAGTTATATACAATTATTAGATTACATGAAATTACGCGCTCTCCAGCTAACAGTCATTCAAGTTTGGGATATTCTCGTAAGATACGTAAGATTATTCTCGAGTTTAGATGTAATGGTGCTGATAGTTCGGAGTTTAGATGTAACAATCAGAGTTTTCATTTAAGTTCAACACCGCATCGCTGAAGCATTAACACCACACCACAGTATATTTTCCCTATCTTTGCCCTTGCCATTTTAAACTGCTCATTTTGAATATAATACTTTATATTATTACATACCTTTAGATTGGAGAACTAATTCATAAACTAATAGGTCTATTATAATTCCTTACCATAAAAATATTTCTCGGGTGCAGTTGAAACCTATGTTTTAAACGTATGTGCTAAAATCAGTTTGCAACTTCTTTTTAGTCTTGTGATTTTCATAGTTTTGATTCTTTAACATTTTTAACTTTTTGAAACTTAAGCGGTAAAATAAATTATAAATTCTTAAGTGTATTTCAATATACCTAAAATTTTAAGATTGAAAATATTTTATTACTTTTTTATTTCTGTTTTATAAAGCTTGAAATTTTCTTTATGTGGATTTCATTTATAGTAGCGGAGATGTCACTAAGCACCAGTTAGTTCGTATGCGTAATCGAGATTCTTTAGATGCTTTGTTGTCATCACAGTTGTTGAACTGTTGATGATTGGCTTTTGTCTCTGATGATGTTTGTTTGTTGAATAGTTTTTCGTTTCGTATAAGCCATTATGTATGAATGCCTTGGGCAAAACGAAAAGTTTACGTGTGCATATATATGTCTTTTATACAAAGCAAATGTATACCTACGTAGTTACCTGTGTAATGATAAATGAAAAAAAAAAACAAAGCATGTTTTTAAACTGATAAATGCAGAAATATATAAAATTAATTTTGAATTAGGAAACAATTTTAAGAAAATTAATCAATATGTGCATCTGTCAGTTCAACCAAGACCGTAATCGTAAAGTTCACGTTTTTAAAGTTTACTGTGTGTTTAATGTTTATGTTTATCTTTTATATTTGTTAATTCCCAAGAAAGACGTGCCGGAAGATATAAAATCCATTTACCATCTTTTCCAGCTTTACTTGAATGATGTAATTTTACGTTGGTTTGCTGTTGAATTTTGGAATTTCATATTGTCATTGCTGGTTTTTAAAAGGGTTATTTACACTAGCAAATTTGTTACTTTTGAACCAAATAACTATTTCAAATTGATATTTGAATTTGCTTAGACTGTGTTTTGATTTTATTAAATATTAGGAATGAATTAATTCAGTTTACAGCACTTAATTTGGGTTGCAGTTTCAGACCTTAATATTTTCTTTTATATGACGTATTTAAGCTTATATATGTACTATGCGTGTGCGTGTATTTGTATTCAAATCGGTCTTGTGTTCGTATTTTGTTTAGGCTTTGTGGATGACGCTATTGCCACGCTATTAAATAAATATTACAATCTTTACTAGATTGCAACTAATGGTAAACCTAAATTATTTCTATTCCGAGTGGTATGCTAT